ATCGAAATGTTATTAAATACAGACATTCATGTTACAAATTGGTGTGCCAGCAAAACATAACCCACAAAATGCAGGAAATCACCATAATTATAGTCTTCTGTCAGGATTGGCCCAGAATTCAGTGGCAGTAAAACTGGGGGAGAATGAAGGGTGGTCGCCATGCTAAAAATCATACTGCCAAATGCTGAATAGATGGTGGTGGTATAAAAAAGATTTGATGATCGAAATGTAATTAAATATAGACATTCATGTTACAAATTGGTGTGCTAGCAAAACGTGCCCCTCAAAATACAGGAAATCACCATATACATTGTATTATAGTCTTCTGTCAGGAATGGCCCAGAATTCAGTGGCAGTAAAACTGGGGGAGAGTGAAGGGTGGTCGCCATGCTAAAAATCATACTGTCAAATGCTGAATAGATGGTGGTGGTATAAAAAAGCTGACGGATAGAATGTACTTTAATAGAGACGTTTATCTTAGTTTGGTTTGGTGTGCCAGCAAAATGTGCCCCTCAAAACGCAGAAAATCACCATAATTATAATCTTCTGTCAGGATTGGCCCAGAATTCAGTGGCAGTAAAACTGAGGGGAAGAACTGATGAATAGATGGTGGTGGTATAAAAAAAGTTGATGGATGAAATGTACTTTAATTGAGACGTTTATCTTAGTTTGGTGTGCCAGCAGAATGTGGCCCACAAAGTGCATTATCATTGGTCACCTCCATTTCCCTCTGTTGCTAGCAAGGTCAGAGATCTGGTTTGCTGAGAGTTGCATGTTATTGTAATCTGCCATGGAGATAATGCAGGAAAAAGAATTTCTTAAGGTTGAAGGTTTCCAAATTTTCAGTGGAAGCATGGTTGGTCACGCCAAATTTAAGAGATTTGTGTCTTTGGATCCCACAAGGGTACGAATTCCCTCATCCTTATGTCACCTTCTCAAACCAAATTTCATGCTGCCACTCTGGAATCAATCCATGCTACACATGTTCTGTGTGATACATTTGGGCCATGCAAAATCTGAGACAGAAGCTGGTGTGTTACGCCAAAAGGCGGTTATACTGGCTATACAGATACAGAAGCTGGTGTGTTACGCCAAAAGGCGGTTATACCGGCTATATACAGATACAGAAGCTGGTGTGTTACGGGTTATATTGGCTATACAGATACAGAAGCTGGACGTGTTACGCCAAAAGGTGGTTATACCGGCTATACAGATACAGAATATGCCATTTTGTGAAGCAATTTAGGTGCAGTTTATAATATCACATATTTGTGGAATAGCATTATTTGGGCATCCAGAGGTCACATGCAGACATTTCTGCTCTGTGAGACTAAAAACTAATAAAAGAATCTCTGCCTTGCATATTACACTTTCACGCACCTGACTCACAACCGTAGCCTTGTGAGGTCATCCAGTGCAAAATGTGTCTGAAGTCCAGTCTGGCAGAAGAAAATGGCAGAAGGAGGTCAGTAGCACTAGCAAGAGTTCACAGTCTGAGAATCATGGAGTTGTTCACGGAACTATGTGACTGTTCACGTTGGTGGCAGGTGCAGAAAAAAGAAAGTCTGCCAATTATTTGTAATGATTATGTTCCTGATAGGCACAGAAGTGACCACACCGCAAACAATTCATTAATTCAAGGACATTCCTTGATTAATTAGTGTACAGTGCAGGGTACAGTTGTTCACTGGTGCAATGGCCAAGTGGGTAGAGTGTTCTCCTTGCATTCGGTACAATGTAGGTCGTGAGTTCAATCCCCGGCTGAGTCATACCAAAGACCAAAAAAATGCTGCATACAGCTTTCTCTGCTTAGCATTTTTTCCATGGGAAAAGTATAGGAGTTAAACACCACTACTAGTGCTGTAGTGATTGCACAACTGTGTGGCCCAAGGGCTACAGGAAAGGAGACAGGCACCAACCTATGAACCGTAGGTGTGGGAAGGAATTTAACTTAGACTTTTAGCTAAGAGCTGTTCACAACATTTGGAATGTGGCAAATTCCTTGTGTTAACTAATACCGGTAAGCCATTTTAAGTGTCTTTCATGCAGTAACATTGTTCGCCTTTAGTAAATATGATAGTGCTAGTCACAGGTTTGTTTCAGCTTCCATTGACACTATTGAAGCACGCAGGAGAAAGCTAACACATTCCTTTGTCACGCGCCTGCTCAACTCAAACAATGGTCTCATTAAACTGGTAGTTCACTCTGACATATTCTCCATCAACAACTTCTGGAAACACTACGCCAATCTGGTTTTCAAACAGCCCACCCATTAAAATTCCACAACATTGTTTTTTATTCTTCTATATATCTTTGTAGTTTAATCTTCTGTATATACTTGTATTATACTTGTCTTTGTGTATCAGTATTTTTAAGTGTATGTCTTGATATGGGCCATGTGCCCGCAATAAAGAATGAATTGAATTGAACAATTTGTCACACAGTATATAACTGAAAAGTGAGATGTATTTATACCTTCTATTATACATAAGAAAGGTGGCACCTCTGTCATACAAATCAGTGTACATGTATGTCTAGCATTTTTTACACCAATCAAATAGATAGTCATCTTTTTCACACCCTAATGTATCATATACTAAGCTTATGTAATGGCATCTGTGGAACTGCATCTGACTGCACAGTGAAGAAAACAAATCTCATGATCAATCCTGCCTTTTAGAAATATGCTACACAAGCAATGTATCTTAAAGCAATGTTTTGTCATATCTGTACAACTGATGACTGTCTAATTATTAATATGATTGTCATTTATCAGTACAAACTGACATAGGCACACATGTAGTGAGTATTTCAAGCACACCAACTTTTCCTGGTCCTATACTTAAAACCTATAAAACTGCCTTGAAGTTCACATTTAGAAACAGACAACAGAGCATCACCTATTACAAAGTTTCCAAAGAGAAATTAATGACTTGTGTACTCTAGTTGGTGTGAAGTAAAACAAAACAAAATGTCCATGCAGCTTCATAACTTAATTTTCCTAACCCCTAAAATTACATACATTACATGTAAAGTTACCTCCCAAGTTTCCACTCATAATGCATGCAACAAAGTAGAGTTTTCATATATACATAGTTTTACTTGCTAGGAATAAACTTGTACAAATATAACTGCCAACTCTATTTAGCCTTGGATATTTTACATGAGTGACTGTAACAATACTATCGATAAATACATTGTACAAGTTAGTACATCTGGAAATTTAAAGAAAACTCCTATCATTTAACTTGGAGGAAAATCAGGAAGTTCTAAAATATATGGTGGAACACATTTTATTGCAGCAATATTATGGACAAATATTAATATTGTTTTGCTGCTTCTTTTCCTTTCATTACTAAATGTTTCCAAAGCTCCAAGAACACAGGAGCATTTTCACACCATCCCCTTTTCACCCACAATCTCTCATGAACATTCCTCAATCGGTAAAATTCTTGAATGCAACGTACATGTAGATAGTGTTCTCACCATGTCAACTTTCTAGGACCTATTTTCTCTACATAACCCTGTATCAGAGAAGTGATCTGTAGACCTCACAATTGAATCATTATGTTTAAATAAAGAGTTTTAATGTGGAACATTTCTTGTGACATGTACATTTGTACATAGCAAGATGACAGTACAGTCACATCCAGCAATATGTACACTACCATAGCTCAAAAATGATGGTAGCATATAACAGCACTATTGTACAAAATTATGTTAACATTGTCACATCTATACACCAGTGTACAGGGATAAGAAGTAAATGTAGAGCAGGAAGATGGGGTACATCAGAAGGGGTTTCTTGGTCTTGAACTCTTCACTGACCAGCAGAGACCCAGCACTGTAGGCAGCCCACAGCACACCTAGGAACTGTCCACACATTTACACAGTTAGTACGGGACAACAAACCAATCAGGAATTCAAATTCTACTACCAGATTGAATATGGTGATTACTTGCGTTTCGGGTGACATCATTCTAAGACTTCTTCAGCGGTATTCTTCAATTAGTGATAATACATGATGAAGAAGAATGATAGATGTCTCTAAAAACATCTGCAAGCAAGCGCCGTATTTTATCCAGTTTAAATCGTAGACGAGTGACATTTATCTGGATGTCTAACCTTCATCTACACTTAGAAAATGATTATCGTGTGCAGGTTGTAACATTAATACTTGTGATAATGTATTATATTTGCTGCAGTGTTGCCATGCAAGCACGTCTAACCCTTGGAAGTTGGGGAACAACAGACGAAAAACCAAATAGTGAGTGTGTGATAGCCTGGTATCCAGCCTTGTTAGCTTAAGTCCGCTACCCAAGATCCGCTCCCCGGTTGGATACCAGGCTAAGTGTGTGAGTGAATGTACATTGTGAGCATTTCTTGTGCATACACTCTGGAATATATTTCCTGCAAGAAATCAACACTTTGATAGCAATGAGACCTTTCCTACCTTCACTAAGAGGCTGACGTAGTGGAAAGGCCTGACCAGTGGCAGAGCCGAGGCTGTGACGATGAGTGGCAGAAGTGAGTAGCCAATCACACCCAGGCACTGCGAGTAGCTCACCTGCAGGGGAAAACATAGAGATTCTTAACTGACACAACAAAAAAGTGCAGGGACTTTAGTATGGTCTTCTGCAACTAAAGATCTAACAAAGCTGAATACATGTGTGGATAACGTCATCCTACATACAGAATACATGTATGCGGTAACAATAAAGTTTAATTATTCTCTAACATGCATGTAGTCTCTAAGATCGAAACATTATTTGATGTACTTTCCAATTTGAGCACTGTATTGGTTATCTCCCCTGAGAATGTAATTGAACAGTTATCTACAGGATCTAGTGTATTGAAATCAGTTGAACATATAAATTTCATTGCAACACATACATTACACTTCACTCAGGTGATAGTAAGTACCTAGCTTCAGTTAGGGATATCCCTTGGATAGGACGTTAAATGGAGGTAACGTGTTTGGGGAGAGCCACACCCCACGCAATTAAAGAACCCACCGCATTTATCAAAAAGGGTATAGGTCCTTTCCGGTGTGAGTGGTTCAAACCTTACAGTCTGGCCTTACACAGCTTGTACTTACTGTACAGGTTCAATACCTGTTGTGTTATACCTAAAGGCGGTTTACCCGTTATGCGAAAGAAACAAAACAAAAATTGATGTTTCTCTTCTCATACCATGGTGTCCATTGACTGAGTAACTAGGCTAGCGGACACACGAGATTGAAAGGTCGCAGGTTTGATTCCTGGCAGTCCTGGCTGGATGTTGTGTCATTGGCGACAGGCATTTGAAACCTTACTTTCCTCACACCACTCAGGTGTACAATATGGGTACCTGACTTCGGTTGGGGAGGTAAAAGGCAGTGGAAGGAGAGGGATGGGCTCCACCTTCTAATACTCTGCCCTAGGCCTAGACACAGTGGAATATACATCTCCATATATACATAATATAACATTTAAGTGGATTTAGTTTCGTGTATTGTGCCTGAAATGAGGTACCTCATTTACAATCATCGGATATTACCTGATGCATATCACACCTCATATCTGTTGGCTGACAAATTAAACTGCATACATGTGCAGGTAAATCTGCTGTGACTTGATTGTGCATCGGCACTCCATCTTGTCTAGACATCTGATGAAGTTTCTATTAATAATTTCCACTATCTGCACACAGATGTGTTAAGGATACAACATGTAAGGATACATCATTTCAGGCACAATACACGAAACTAAATCCACTTAAATGTTGTAATATTCCTTTCTTCTTGGAACAGATGTCAACTTACTGTTCTTGTTTTTAATTGCTACTTAGGCCACACCAATTTAATTTCTTGGTTAACGGATTTTTCTAGAAAAATAATGGAGCGGGCGGGCAAAAATAAATAAAAATAAAAACAGGCCTAGGCATCCTATTATTGCCCAAAATGGTTACGATAGGAGCCATGAAGTCAACACACCAGGCTGGTTCAAAATTTAAACAATGAATTTTGAACTTTTAATGATACCACTGCATATGGAATGGCTGTAACAAGTAGCAAGAAAAGGACTGAATTTTTATTTTTATTTGCAAATCAGAAAAAAATGAAGTGGCGAATCCGTTAACCAAGAAATTAAATTGGTGTGGCCTTAACTTAATATTATCCACAGTATGGCAATGAAAGATATGAAAAGAGGTCTTTGATTGCCATTCTCCTTCAGGATCAGGATTTATCTAGCACATAACAAAAATTCATGTCCACCCAAAAAAAAGCCTAGAGTCACCAGGTTTTTCTAGGGTCGGTCGGGAAACAGGAAATACAACTTACATTATTTTTCTTAGGCCTAAAAGGTATTAAACAGGTCTTTGGTAGCCAGTCTCCTTCAGGATTTATTTAGCACACATCTCCAGTCGTAAGGATTTGACAGCTAAATGTAATTGCCAGACCTTATTACAAAACCCATCAAATCCCATGAAACTGTGCATGGATATGTCCACCACTATTATCACAGTCACACCAATCATGTTATCAGGGCTCAAAATTCATTTTTGGGAATACTGGTGCACTGATTTTTGGGTGCACCATGTAAGATAAAATAAGCAGAATGTCAGCAAAAACTAATCATGTTTCGTTTCTAAAGAAAGGTACTATAAGAATGATTCATTATTTTTTGACACTTTGAAATGTATAGTAGTAAAAGAATATGCTAAATATACTACTATACAATCAATATCTTTACATGCGTAAACCTATGAAAATATTTGGGTGCACTGGTGTACCCACAAAAAAAATTAGGTGCACAGCTCCAAATTTGGGTGCACTAAGGTGCACATGCACCCAGTATTTGGAGCCCTGGTTATCATGGGAGGCACAGATCATAGAGTAGGTGTTTGGTAAAGGCTATTAGTAAGTATGGCAGAAATGCACACCCTATAATCCACGCTGAGGTGACAAATTGAGCATTGCTACACCATCTCCCTATAATCATCATCACATCACATGAATGCGATCACTGCCCACAGGATCTGGCCTGCTCGGTCATCATAGGAGATGACTGAGGTAAGATTTAAGCTATGTGGGTGCCAATATACATGTACAGTCTCCAATGGTTTGTTTCATCTGGATGTGTCTCTAGCACTTAGAGTCGCATCTACTCACATTGATATAACTTTTTGAAGTCATCAAAATACCAACAGCCAAGATCGATTAGTGGCCTCGAAATTGGAAAAAAAAAAATCTTAGTGGCTTCATCTCAAGTCAAGGTGACCAGGCTACATGTAGCTGCATTTGTTTGATCTTGTCAAAGCTTGAAGTCACAAGTGCCACTTAGGCCACACCAATTTAATTTCTTGGTTAACGGATTCGCCCGCTTCATTTTTTTCTGATTTGCAAATAAAAACAAAAATTCAGAATCAACTGCAAAATGCTCATATTTTGCCCTGAACAGTTGAAAACAGTCCTTTTCTTCCTCGTTGTTATAGTTATTCCATCTTTCAATGCAGTGGTATCATTAAAAGTTAAAAATTCATTGTTTAAATTTTGAACTAGTCTGGTGTGTTGACTTCATGGCTCCTATCGTACCATTTTGGGCCATAATAGGATGCCTAGGCCTGTTTTTATTTTTATTTTTTTTTCGCCCGCCCGCTCCATTATTTTTCTAGAAAAATCCGTTAACCAAGAAATCAAATTGGTGTGGCCTTATAAAGTTTTTATATATGTTATAAATGTTTTGTAGTGACAGTTATGAATGTGTAAAATCCAATTTGATTCCTCCATGATTGTCAAACTACTGATTGTGTAGCAGTTACAGATGTGTGTATGACGTTGATTTTAATTTCTCCTTTATGAAGGTTGATCATCCAGGATGTATACATGTACTCATAATTCTTGGTTTAATCTTTACAACTGGCGTCTGTGTGGTGTAGTGGATAGAGCGTCCGACTGTCAAGCAAGAAGACCCAGGTTCAATCCCCAGGCTTGGACCCAGACATGTCCGGACATGCACCCACATGTACTCATAATTCTTGGTTTATTAATCTATACAACTGGCGTCTGTGTGGTGTAGTGGATAGAGCGTCCGACTGTCAAGCAAGGAGACCCAGGTTCAATCCCCAGGCTTGGACCCAGATATGTCCGGACATGCACCCAGACGTTGTGCCCTTGGGAAAGGCACTTAACATGCATTTTCCCCCCTCAGTTAGAGGGATCCCAGGCCCTACTAGGGTTTGGGTTGGCGTTAGGAAGAGCATCCAGCCGTAAAAATCCTGCTTCAAAAAAAAAAGACTTGTACTTTGTGCAAGCACGTCTAACCCCCGGTTGGGGAAAAATGACGTTAAATTCGGTTTTAAAAAAACAACAACTGGAAATGATAGAGTTTTGGATGTTTTGACTGTTATCCAGCAATTTTCATCAGTAAAAAGAAAAGAAACTTTGCTGTCTGTCCCTGTTGTTTTCAAGCAGTCCTGTATGAAGCCAAGGACTTTTGGGGACTTGAAAAAGTTCACTCCGTTTTCCAGCCTACTTTTCAAAGCTCACAGTTAGTGCTGCATACCTAAACCCACATTTAGGTTCAGGTCCAGATTCAAGTCCAGAGGTTTAGGTTCAGTTCCGGACTAGCAAGTCCAGACCTAAACCCATGGCATAGACAAACTTGCATGTTGGCAAGCTTGCAATGTTGTCTGGGTGAAACTTTGGCCACGTAACATGGAGGCCAAGGTTTTGGTGGTTTGGAAAGAAAAGGGGTATGTGAAATGGTCTTTTATGGTAATAAGTCCGGACTCGGTTCTTGACTTTTAGGTTTTATTGGACTTGAACCTAAACATTCTTACAAGTCCGGATCCAAGTCCAGTGAACCGGTATGCAGCACTACTCACAGTGATGTATGTGCCCTGTTATATTCAAAACACCCTTTCAGGATCAGTGACTATTATTTGTTTGACCTTGTCAAAGCTGGAAACCACTTGAGGCTTGAAAAGTTGACTCAGTTTTCCAGCTTAGTTTGCAAAGCTGTGATGTATGTTCCCTGCTGTGTACGGAACACCCTTGTAGGATCAGTGACTATTAACACACGAGACCCGAAGGTCAGCTGTTACCCCATCATGGGCCACAGTCTGCACAGTCAGAGCAGTATGACACATGAGGTACACATCCCATCAGAGGACTGTCACCCATCACACTCAACCCAGTTCTGTCAGCACCACATGCCGTCCCTCCCTCAGGTACGCTACATTTACCACAAACATGTTCAGGGACTTTTCTGTATATCCCATGGATCTACGACGTTACTCCGTCAGGAATGCTTAGTCAATAATTACTCTACCCTCAGGCCACACCAATTTAATTTCTTGGTTAACGGATTCGCCCGCTTCATTTGTTTCTGATTTGTAAATAAAGATAAAAATTCAGAATCAACTGCAAAATACTCATATTTTGCCCTGAACAGTTGAAAACAGTCCTTTTCATCCTAGTTGTTACAGTTATTCCATCTTTCAATGCAATGGTATCATTAAAAGTTCAAAATTCATTGTTTAAATTAATTTTGAACCAGCCTGGTGTGTTGACTTCATGGCTCCTATCGTACCATTTTGGGCCATAATAAGATGCCCAGGCCTGTTTTTATTTTTTTTCACCCGCCCGCTACATTATTTTTCTAGAAAAATCCGTTAACCAAGAAATTAAGTTGGTGTGGCCTCAGGCCTACGAAAAAAAGATTGTGTTTCTTGTTTCATTCCTGAAAAAAGTAGGGTCGGTACGTAGGGATTATCTTTTTTTTTCTTGTTTTTTAGACTTTGGCAATCTCTAGTGATCAAAATTATACAATACAGTTTAACAAAGTGAAACTTGAGGACAATGAGGACACTTATATTTTCAATCAATAGTAGGAAACTGATTGTACAACGTTTCATCTCTCAGGTGTCAGATCATGGAGCTAGAAAAGGTCGATCAGCTTGAAAAATTATATGTCCCTTGCAGGGATCCACATAAAAAAGGCTAGGGTTGGCAGTTTTGTCCAGGGTTGGTCGGGAAACAGGAAACAGGATTTTTTTTTCCTGGGCCTCATCTGGACTTGTTGTGGCAACGCATGAATACAAATGTCCTCAACGTCCCGAGGTAGGATTTCAACGGTTTTACTGACAATGGTTAGGATTATGTTGTATCAGCTTGGCTGGATTATAGTCTCAGAAAACTGCTGTGTAAGGAAAGGAGCAATGACATTACCTCTAAGGTAACGAGACACACCCAGCAAAGAACCTTAAACCTCATTGTGAAGTCTACAAGTGTCAGGGGCCACAGATCGAAGCATTGTCAAGAAAATGACCATTATCTTTAAACGCTGCCTCAAGGTGTTCATGACTAAATTCAGCAGTAACTACAAAATTTTATGAAGAAGGTTTAGTATAGCCTGCTCTCTCAATCTTTATTGTGACTTCAGAATAAGTCATTCAAGAACCTTAACACTGTCCCACTCACCTAAATCACTGATGACACTATGCAGTTTGGTCAAAGGGGAGAATCCATCTAGATTTACCAATTCAAGACCTCTCATAGATTATGCAACATGTGAAACTGATATGAGACACATTGTTGACAATGGAAGGGCAGTAGCGTGCCCTGGTTTTAGTTTTATTTTATTTTATGACGATTTACCACATTTGTGGAAGGATTGACATAACAGGTGACAATCACCTCTTCCAAGATGTCAACCCCGAGACCAGACTGTAAGGCTTGAACCACTCACACCGGGAAGGTCCCCTACTCTTTTCGTTAAGTGCGGTGGGTTCTTTAACGTGCGTGGTGTGGCTCTCCCAAACACGGGACCTCCATTTAACGTCCTATCCGAGGGACGTCCCTAACCGAAGCTAGGTACTCATTTACACCTGAGTGAAGTGAGAAAAGTCGTGTAAAGTGCCTTTCCCAAGGGCACAAGATCGGTGACATGGGCAGGGTTCGAACCCACGACCTCTCGGGTGTGAGCCAAACGCGCTACCGACTGCGCCACACGACCCCAGTTGTAAGTCATGATTTCATTTTTAAAGGCACCTAAAGCAATTTCAGTGCAGTAAAACTGGATCTTCAAAGTCAATTCCCTGGTCATTTTTTATGTGTTAGGCCACACCAATTCATTTTGTTGGTTCTCGGACATTTTTAGTTCAAAAGATAGCAAGCGGACATCATAAAATGAGAAGGCTATGAAGAAAACTTGAATATGGCTGTATTTCCTACATAAAGCTGAGTCCACCGAGGCATCAACCAGGTTCTCTGACTTTGCTTTTATTCGGTTTTTCCAGTTAACCATATTTTTAAAAAATCTGAGAACCAACGAATTAAATTGGTGTGGCCTTAAGTTGAATCAACCCTATCCCATACTGATATCTGAGTCATCAACGCAATGTCCATGACAGAAAACTGTTGCTTGTTTCATATCATAGGCTGGTTCTAGATATTTATTGGTGGTACAAAAAATTAATGAGTCTCCTCACATAGCTTGCTTTGGGGTTATCAAGTGTGAAATTATGAGATTGTTTGTTTGTTTGTTTATTAAGGAATCTCCATTAGTGATAATATGTACATCACTATGCTTCCTGGGGTCCTATACAACATAAAAATACAACTATTATTTACATTTACTTCAATTGCTATCTATTATTGACATTATGCTTCAGGAAAACTTATCTTAACAACAATTTTAAACATCAATTATTACATCAATCATTACAACAATATTACGCTATGCAACCATCAATCAATAATGTTGATGAGATGAGGAAAATGTGGTGAGAAATGGCAGTACATGCAAATAATAGAGTCATTTTTTGTTTTGCCGCCTTAAAATTATTGGATATGTTTAAACCTAAAGGCCACTCCTCTAAATCCTCCACAGTCAACCTCCCAAGAATGATAACTTGTTGGAATGACTGGGGTTTTGGCTTACATACAAAGAGGGCATCGTCATGTCTTTGCATAAATGTAGACTCCTTGCCTTGAATAAAATCCAGAGGCCCAGGCACACACTGGTAAATCGACTCCTACAAGTAGAATCAGGGCTCGAAATACTGGGTGCATGTGCACCTTACTGCACCCAAAATTGGAGCTGTGCACTCAATTTTTTTTCTGTGGGTGCACCAGTGCATCCAAACATTTTTGTAGGTTTATGTATGTAAAGATGTTAAATATATAGTAGTATACAGCACATTAACATCTAATTGTCCGAAAAATAATAAAATCATTATTGTAGTACTTTTTTTAGAAATGAAACATACTTTATTACTAACGTAATTAGTTATTCCTGACATTCTAGTTATTCTATTTTAAATGGTGCACTTGTGCACTGAATTTTTTAGGTTGGGTGCACCAGTGCACCTATTGTCAAAAATGAATTTCGAGCAATGTCAGTACAAACCAATCCAGTGCATCACACAAGCCCTCATTGCCCTCAAGGACAAGACCTCTGACTGCCTTTTCCACAATCTGCCGCTCACCTGTGGGTTAATGTGCGCTTTTACCTCTTATCTTTAAGTCACATCTTGAGCCAGTTACTGAAGCAGGGATCTTATCACAAGCCCTGACCCAGATTCACCTGACTCTCGGCATTTGTCAGACATTGTGTCAGGTCAGGGGTCAAAACATCCATCTGGAATCCTGTCGTAACTTCTGGTCTGATCCGGGAGATGAACGTCTTCATGGAAAATTGCCAGATGTGATAGAACGGAAAACAGATGGATGTGCATTATGTTTATAGGCAGACATATGGCTGTATTGTACCATTACCATTTATTTTCATTTTCATCTTATCAAATTTAGAAAAGGTCAATAGCTTTCGGTTTGCATTTTATGTATGGCCCTTGTAACAATAGAAGCAATGGAATATACACATTCAAGAAAATTTTTGTTTCTTAGCATGGAACAAGAAAATAACAGTATCATTGCGACTGCATCATTTAATCCCTGGTGCTTACCATCTAATCTTCTTTGATGAAAAGCACCACAACTTTCAGCACCACAAACAGAGCCCATCCTCCCACAGTATACTCTTCAACATCTCATACCATAGCACGTCGGCAGAACATACTGTGCCTGCGCAAAACCCCCATTTTTCACGATTTTCGTTGGGGTTTTGGTCAACGTTGCATCGGAATTTTGCCTGTTGCAGAAGATATCTTTTCCAACATAACATTTGGAAACTGCAGACGGGATGTTGACCTTATATGCGCGAATACGACCTTATATGAGACGTTCTGCCAAAGTGCTATGTATTTCGCGCAGGTGCAGTGTGTTCTGCCGACGTGCTTTATACCATAGGCCTAGCACTCCAGGACATGTCATTTCAACATCAGAGATTAAATGAATGCTTAAAAACTTCTTTGATTAGGAAGCAACCCAACTTTCAGCACCAAAGACATAACCCATACTCCCACAATATTTACATACTCCTAAACATCTCATACCATAGGTCTAGCACTCCCGGACATGTCATTTCAACATCATACATTGAATAAATGAATGCTTACAAACTTTTCATGGGAACCAACCCAACTTTCAGCACCACAGACAAAGCCCATCCTCTCACATTATCACAATATACTCCTAAACATCTCATACCTGATGTCTGAGGTCCCCAGGACATGTCATTTCAACATCATATATCAAATGAATGCTTCAAAACTTCTGTGATGGTATGGCCACATAAAAAGTGAAAAGTGGCCAAGAAAGATCATCACACTGGCCAAAACCCACGAGGGCTTCCAAGGAAGAGATGGATGGACGACATAACGGAGCACTGTCACCACGTTAACCTGTATAACATCAACCCACAGGACAGAGGCAAGTGGCAGGCTGCCATCAAGCCTCAGCATCGGTGTGCAAACACGTCTAACCCTCAGGGCAAAGGGGGAACAACAGAAGAGAAACCGGAGTGTGAGCTAGTTCTTTGACGGAAAGCACCACAACTTTCAGCACCGTAGACATAACCCACCCCCCTACTAGCCTCCATAGCATGCCAAAAACTGGGGGTTTGGGGGGTCGTCAGGGTCTTTGGGAGCTTTTATGTGCTATTTTGTGATTGCATATAGACAACATAGCCGGCCTGGTTGAATTACCCCCGTGTTAGAACTGGGCTGATCAGAAAACAGCCGAAAAGGCACCAAACCCCCAGTTCTATAAGCCTGCTACGGAGGCTACCCTCCTACAAGATACCCTGGCAGATCGATTTGAGTATTTAAAAAAAGGAACAAAGGCTCAATCAATCAATCAATCAGTAAATCCTGCCTGCATACACACCTCTCCTCCCAGCCAATAAATCAATCAATCCTGACTGCATAGTAATAGTAGTGGTAGACTGATTTATTGAAGAACACATGAGCAGCACTGGCAAGCCTCCTGGCAGCCGTGGTGGCTGAATTGCAAGGCTTATTGTAACAAAACATTCAATGAAAATATATACAGTTATGAATTTCAAAAAGGCAGGGTTACACACCTCTCCTCCCAGTACTCTGGCCAGGATGAAGATGATGAGAGAGCCGAAGACCCAGATGGTGATGATCCACGACACAACCTGAAGGGAAACACACACACGATTGGGTTACATTTACAGGAAACTTATACTATGTCGTTGTTGTTGGCATCCTTCTGTCTCGAGAGACAATGGAGACCGTGTCAGTTCCTACACCTGAGTGCTGAGGGTGGACATAGTGGCCTTAGCGTGGATTTGTTTAAGGCGGATAACAGGTTGCGTATCTGAGACCCACACACTTTGGGCATCCTTCTACCCCAGCAGAACTTGAGGGTAACCAAGTTAAACTATCTCATACTCCAAAAAACTGATATTCAAGCAACTGGATAGATTTTGACAACTGTCAGATGTTTCAAGTAGTATCCACTACTGTTTGTCAGTGATTAACAGAGTCTGTATTTGAACAGGTATTTATCCAAAAGCTATAAATTGATATGTAACTCATTTTTAATTGGGGTATAACAAAATCAAAAAAGAGTGAAAACTAGACAAGAGAGACAATAGGTTTTTTAACTTTTTTTTTTGTAACTGAGGTGAAGACAAATTTTAGACAGTCCATAGGAAACTAAATATAAGTTTGATGGTGCCAATGAGTGAGTTGTTTGAGTACAGGAGCTAATGTTGTTGTGGGGTGGCAAGGCTTAAACTACATGTATGTAAATTGTGTATGAATTGTGACGATGATTCAATGCTTATATTCTCAAACTTAGCTATAGTAACAGTAAACTTATTACGATGATGAAGGTTAGACATCCGGGTAAACAATATCCAAAGATAACTAAAACTCTACTACTGGATAAATTATGGAGATTGTTTCAAGACATTTGAAGTGACACCCATCACTATTCTTTAGCATTACTGAAATGAACTGACAGCACTAGTGAACATGTACTAGTATCACTTATTGTAACTTATTGTTAGTATGTTTTGTTGTTTATTGGTTTGGCTGGTACAAGACAGCCAGGGCAGCCCAACTAGCTAGAAGCTATTACTAAGGGCATGCCCTGGGAAAAAAAATGTGGTTAAATACATAAATTATGGTCATTAATATATACAGATTACATATGATACAATGGTATGTGGCAATTCTGTAGTCCCAAAGTTTGCCCATTATATGCTATTTGATGATAGATAAATAAAGTACAAATGTATATAATAATAATTGTTTATTGATTGATCGAAGATAGAAAAGTACAATCGCTAGCATGTTGCAGCGCAACTAATAAGTAGTGCTGAATTATATGCTAGTTTAAAAACAGAGATACAAATATTGCACAGTTAACAAATACACAACTAGACAAGTGAGTATTTCACACATCGATGAAGGTTAGACATCCAGGCAATGAGACACACAAGAGAACAGTTACTCATTGGATGGATTTTGATAATCCATCCACTTGCTTGGATGGACTTATAAATCTCTTGCTTGAGTAACTGCTTTCTTGCATAAACAAATAAACTATGTTACAAAAAAATGTATGTCCAACATGAGTCAATTGTTATGAGTCACAAGTTATTCACCAATTGTGGAAGATAGGGTGCCTGCAAGCAATGCTATATGACTGAGTCAGACATGCTTATCATAAAAACAATACCTTCAAATCAGCTTTCTATATTTGTCTAAAGCACACCCTACAAATAAAACACTTTCCAATCCTGATAATGGTAACCTGTTAATAAGAAATTGACATTTGTTCCAAATCCTGAGCTAGGTTCACATCTGACATGTAAATTTGAGCTATTTTTGTGGATTTATTTGGCACGACGAATTAATTAGACATACCCTTGGACTGCATAATTGCAGCAGATTGTGTAATGCACTGGGAGGCAGGATTAAGGGTAATACCAGTAATACACCGGCATTTAGAAGTATCCACGTTAATGACAGCAGAGAAAATTACCTGGAGGCAATTTGAATGCAGGATGGGGAGATGAGAAAATTGCAATCTGTCGGAGGAGAGAAGTCTCCCCTGGGTGTGGACTACAGGTGATGAACTTTCCTGACCTGCCATCAAACGTGAAACATTGCCTTTGGTGTAATCTATCCTAATGAGGAAGCCACAATTACGGCAAGCACTTCAATCCAACCCCATATGTTCTTATTTCCGGCAATTTGATGCACACCAGCATGTGCTGCTATATGATAACAAGGATTGGAAATAACATAAGTCAGCCTCAGCTCCTGTTATACATCTATTTATGGTCTTAATTATTTTTTTTGTTTTATTAACATTCTGTCAAAATTTTGCTGTCACTGAAATCCCAGAATATCTGTGACTACACTTCCTACAGTCTTGTCATTTTTTAGCATGTTTTCTTTAAAATGTTGACTCAATTATCAAAGCTACTACGTGTACCTTCATTATGCTTAATAATGTTTTTTCCAAGACCTATTCTTGACCTATTTTAAACTGTGGTATCTTGATTGAACTCATCCTATCAGATAATGGAGTGTCTGTGAAGGATGCTTCTTGAAGATCTGTTTAATTTCATGTATCATTCTGCTGACATCAGTTCTACATGTAAATCCCGTGTTCTGACTTATGCAAGCTCAATCTCTGCACAACAATCAGAGATAACGAAGATCCCAATTTACTGAAGTTGATTATACGGAGGGACAGTAAAAAAAGGCCGCTGGCCCAGTATAACAGACAGGCAATCCTGAGTTGAAGCCTAGGAAAAAAAATGTTGTGTTTCCTGTTTCAGTCCTGAAAAAATTTGGGTCGGTATTATCTTTTTAGGTATTATCTTTTTCTTCCTTCTTTTTAGACTTCAATGATATCTATATATATAGGGATCCAACTTATACAATACAGTTTAACAAGGTAAAACTTGCATGAGGACATATTTATTTTCAATGTCAATGTTAGAAAACCAATTGTACAACGTTTTAACACTCAGGTGTCAGATCATGGAGCTAGAAAAGGTTGATCAGCTCAAAAAATAAATCCACCCCCCCCTAAACAAGTCTAGGGTGATCAGTAGGTTTTTCTAGGGTCGGTCAGGAAAACAGGAAACACAACATTTTTTTTCTAGGCTTGACCTGGTGCTCGGCTGTAACGTCTGATGAGGGAATGAAAAGAACGCTCCCACGAGACACTTGATTCCAGATCAAATGCTCGCAGAGTAAGTCCTTTGCAATCATCTTGCTCAGGGTCCACAGCCCGTGCAACATCCGCTCCTTGATTGGATTCAAAAACAATCAAGGGAGCGGCATAAATACTCATCCAAGAAGGAACTTTTGTGGACAAATGAGACGGAATTTGTATCATATAGACTTAGTTATCGCATGTATATGTCAGGATGAGCACTCTGATCTGGATGGATAGGCAATTCTACCACACCGGTAGAGATCCGATTCAGAGTCTCTGTCAACGGAAACTCTGATCAGGATCTGCTGGTAAAGTTGGGGTACAGATATGGTGGTAGTGGTTTGCTCTTTCTTAGTCCTATCTAAGCTCATACTCACTTCACACCTTTAATGATAAAGGTGTGAATCTTTATTGCATGTTCTTGCCCAGATGGGCTAAATGCACAAGAGGGTATGCAGTATGCAAAAACATGAGCATTTCATACTGGAACGCTATATTCTAATACAAAGTGCTAAGAATCTATACAATACAACAATACTATATACTACCTATCATCTACTGTTAGTTGCCCTTTCTTCTCTCTTTTTGAAACATTTGGAAACATAATTACATAGTTTGTCTACTGTACATTCGTTCTTGCATGACATCAAGTGTTTAAACATGTCCTGCTTTGACATTTTCTTGCATATCTTGTCTAATTGTAAAGTATCGAATAGCTCTTGGCGTTCATCTTTCTATAATGTACAGTCAAGTAGAAAGTGTATCTCGTTTTCAACATATAAATGATTACAAAATTTGCACGTTCTATCTTTCAGAGGGGTACGGCTATGCCTGCCGGATTCTATACGTAAGGGATGGTCACTAATGCGAAGTTTACACATGGCTCTGCGATGTTCGAAGTTTGCAATGTTTAAATATGTTTCTCTTTCATAAATCTCTTTGAATGTTTTGTATGTCCTTAGTTTGTTGCCTTCTTTCAGTTGGGACAACAGCCTAAATTAATGTTGCCTGTAATTTCAACAGGCCTCCAGGAATATCAGCAGATTTTGTTTCTAAACCATCTCCAAAAGATGACAAATGTTACAACTTATTTCAAGTTGATCCATGCAGAAGCAATTGTTATTCAGGACATGCATGTCGTAAACACGTGGCGTAAATTCCAAAGTCTTTACTACTGGAAATTGATAGGAAGTACAGTCATCAGAAACTCTCATCGCATTGCACATATTTTTCAGAGCATAATAGATGCGATACGCCAGAAGAAATTACATACATGAAAGCATTGACACACCACTCACACTCTTAAAGCAACAAAATCCCCCAGGATTTATCTGTGCTCTCACCAGAGTAAAGGCACAAAAGTTTTGTCACATAAAACTACGGCAGCTAAGGTCAGGCAGCTTGCAGCATGGCTTTTTGTACAGACAAATCACACTGGCATGAGTGATCGCCCGAGCTGTAGGACTGGAATTGAGGAGGGCACAAGTCACTGTGCTGTAAGGTGTCATACATTTTTATCTTACATTTCTGTATATCATTGTACACTGTAAATCTTGAAAATTTTCCTTTCCATTGCAAAATCATGACACAATATATATATGTGCATAAAATATATTGCTATGGTACTACAAGATTGTCTACACTGCAAAGTTGAAACCTACCCTTCTTTAACCTCTGCCTGAAAATTAAGTTCTTTCAAAATAAATGACTTTACGGTAATAAGTTGCGATGACCTGTTACAAGTTGTGAAACTGCATGACTGCAGGTCCTCTGATCAATAAATAACATAAATCATCTCACATTCACAAATGGCACTTGCCCCTAATGTCTGCTTGAAAAACTGTTGAATTGCACCTTTTCTAAAACAGGTACTTCCAAAACCAATGATGAGAGTAGTGTGAATTGACAAGCAGTAACAAAGCACCGTCCATTATTCTCAAGTATCTTTTT